GGTGGCTGACCAAGTGCTTCTGCACTTGGACTTGTCTTGTTTTGGTCCTAAGTTCATAGTGCTATAGGCGATGAGCATGAATTTCCCATCTGATGTTAAGAACAGTGGTTGTGGATGGAACTGCTGCCCAGGGGAGTCACTTGAGCAGCTCAGTAGGAACATTTTCCCAAGGAGATGGCACGATGGAGACCCAGACAGGCTGTGCTGGGTATCTGGCCAGGGTATGCTCTGGTAGCAAAGCGCCTGTGTTTGCTGAGGCATCTCCTTCTTGGAGCATCTCCCTGGCCTCAGCATGTGAACCACCAGGTGTATTAACAGTGCAAACCTTTTGATGAATTACAGTGATGACTTTGAGTGCATTTTGGACCTGCAGAGAACATGATTTGAGACACTGGGAGACCTCCAATGGCCTCTTTCTCTTGGAGTGTTGTTTCTAGTCACAAACACAGCTCGCCTGACTGCACATCCAGAGTTACAAACCTCTGCCACTTTGCTCTCAGAGGCACTAATTGCCCTGGGGGTTTAGTCCATCCTAGCACAGGTCTCTGGGGTAAATCAGCTACAGATCTGCCTCACTTTTCATCCCCATAAAGCATTTCTGACTATTGCAAGGAAACTGCTCCAAACAGCTGGCTTTCCCGGAATGTGCCCTGTCTCGGGGTTAATAGGTTGCAGTGTATTACCAGCTGGAGCTGTGTGCTCTGGCCATCCCAGAGCAAGCAGATGAATGAGCGCGATGACCTGTGAGCAGCATGACCTGCTCCCTGCCCTCCCTGCGGGGCGTCTTGCAGCTAAATGAGGGGATGGGATCAGTGACTGCCCTCAGCTGCAGCTTGGGATCATGGCATCAGGAATGGGCATACTGGAGTGGGACACGACACACAGCCATTTCTGTACCCTCTCCGTTGCCTGTTGTTTCACCTTGGAGCGTTCTCCTCATGGTTTGCAGCTCTCCAGTCTTGCTGGCAGTGCTTTGTTTGGCTGGAGTTACAGGAGGCTCCTCCGTTTCCGACCCTCGCCTGCATGATCAATCTTGCTGTACAATGGCTTTGCCAGCTG